TGGAGGCCATCGCTAGTAGGTTGGAGGCCATCACTTAGTTTGGAGGCCATCGCTAGTAGGTTGGAGGCCATCACTTCTAGGTTGGAGGCCATCGCTAGTAGGTTGGAGGCCATCACTTCTAGGTTGGAGGCCATCGCTAGTAGGTTGGAGGCCATCACTTCCAGGTTGGAGGCCATCGCTAGTAGGTTGGAGGCCATTGCACTTAGGTTCCTTTTGCTAGTTTGGAGGCAAACCTTCAATACCCTCGGGTCCCAACCTTCGGGAGACATCACAACGGTCACCGCCATCACAACGGGTCGACCGGTCACGTGAGACGTGAGACGTCACGACTCAAAGCTCAATGTCACTGAGGCCCGTGGCATAGGAACCGAAGCCAAACCTGCGGAATGGTCCAAAGCGGCGGAAAAGCGGGGAACGCAGCGGCATGTCGACATCAGCCGTTTCAGGAGCCCGAACGAAGGGATTGGTGGCGGCTGACGACGAGAGTTCAGGGGGAACTCAGAAGAGCTGAAAAGGCCATGATGAACAAATAAGAACAAATATAAGCACAATCACCAGATCCACCATGCCCATTGGGATCTCCTCAACATTTTGTGACAATCCTTCTCAGTTGGCTTGTTTCAGAACACTCGTATTCCACAGCCTCGGAAACTTTTGGATGTTACACGTGGGATGTCGCACCAATCGTCAAGGGTGATCACACTAAGGTCTTTCTGATCTTTAGATGTCATCAGAAAGTCTCAATGTGTCCACCAGAAAATGTTGAGATTTATCCAAACGACTCATCAAAGCATTCATCCTCATCATCCTCCCTACCCAAACTAAAACAAGAAGCTACTAGGAACACAGGGCATCGCTACGAACGGAGCGATCGGACGCTACGATCGGGGCTCCTGGCCATACTAGGAACAAGGACGCTACGAAGGGAGCAAATAGCCAATATCTGTTTGAATTCTTTGGAGTAGTAACAAGTGCCTCGCTAGTAGTAACAAGTGCCTTACTAGTAGTAACAAGAAGCTATTAATTTAGATTTAACTATTAATTCTAATAGCTTTTTGTTCCTACTAGTAAGGCACTTGTTACTACTAGCGAGTCTGTTTGGGGGTTTCACCTTATCAGACGGACTCCGCGTCTCGACCGTTCCAAGGAGCCGCCCCTTTCGGCTGTAGGCCAGGCCGTTGGGTGCCAAGGGCGCCAACGGCCCCGGGCGGCGCTTCAGCTGGGGAGAACTCTGGGAGACCATCAACCTGCAAGGGGAGAACATCACTCTGCATCAAGGGGTGTCTTTCTTTTCTCGTATGCTGAGTGCTCGAAGCTCTGTGTCTTGCAGAAAGACATGCTAGAATTAGCTATTGGGTTGAAAAAAGCCAAGCAAAGCCAAGAAAGTCAAAGTGAAGGAGATTGAACAAGTTTTCGGGTGCAGTGACGTTTGAAGTTTCTCGTCATTCGGTAAGAAGTGTGATACGGGGATGGTGATGTGGTACTTAGAACTTAGAACAGGGAAAAATGTGTGTATCAGTTTGGAAACAGTGAACCCACTTCTTTGGAGAATGTTCTTGGCATCTCAACGCTTTAGAAAGAAACCTAGTGTGTTGGGGCCATCCCAAGATTCAGACCAAGAAGTCCGAGCTTGAACAGACCAGATCAGACAGATCAGGAACACTTGCTGCATTTCCATCATTTGCTGTGTCTCCTTCCGACTGCCTAAGGTCGACTGAACCCCTTCAAACTGCTTGCCGAGGCCGGTTCGGGCCAAAACCTGCCCTCCTCAAGGCCCCACATCCTCTTTCGCGTGGCTGTCTTCGACGCTTCTTGGCCTGCCTCGGCACCGAGAGGGGCGGCGCATCCTCAGGGCTCTTCGCAGCATCCAGCGGAGCTTTGGGCGGTTGGAAGGTTGTGGTGACGCGCTGCAGGAACTCCAGCTCCTGGACTGGTGGTCGCACGACGCGCCAAGCGTGCGTAACACCGGTGCTCCAAAAAGCGTCCACAGAGCGAACCATGCCAGGTCGCAGATGCAAGCATGTTCATGCTGCATGATGCTGCATGAAAGTTCTTGAGTCTTAGTGTCTTTATAGCCCGGGTGTTGAGACGTTGACGCAGAGTCTACATCACACCGTTGGCAGGGATTGGCCTATGGTTGTGGGATGAGGCTATCAACAGTATTTGTCTTGTTGGGATGTAGCTGGCGGTTTTGTTTTTGGGTGTCCACAAATAAGAGGGTACTGAAGCTGTATACCCCGACCAAGAATCACATCGGACCCCAATCCAACTGGTTTGCAAAGGCAATTCGCTTGATTCGTCTTTCAGAAGATGGTTTTCAAGTTCACAAACAAACGGTACTGCATGGTACTATACCATCGTTCCAACCTGTGGGGGTCACCTGCTTCGACCTCGTATCCCGAGTGTTCTGCCGAGGTGCGCTCAAAGGCCCTGCTTGGGACATCCGCCGGAGGACGTTCCAGCCAACCTCATGATCCTCTGGGACGAGGAATAAGTTTTTCCTCAGATGAAAGATGCTTGTGACAAGCGGGACTTGCCGCGGAAACCTCTTCATGTTTCCTTCTCAAAGGTGATCTGGAGGTTAGGGGCAAGCATTCCTGGAAATGAAGAATCCCAGTTGAAGCAACAATGATACTTTTTGCCAGCAATTAAATGATTGAAACACCCCTAACATTGAATGGCCCCAGCTCTAGAGACCAACAAACTAGAACCCTAACAGCAAATTGTTTCTTGGAAAAAAAACAAACACACAAAAGAGATGGATCCTTGGACAAGAACAAAAAATTAGCTCATATCATTTGCATACCTTTTCATAATTGTGTTTGTCATATCTTCATAGTTTTTCATAGAGCTAGACTTTATGAGCATCTTATTGAACATTTTTTTGACAAAAAAGGTTACACAGTTACACACGATTAAAAGTACGTTATATATGAGAGTCACAGGGAGATCCACGGGGAGACCTCCCAAACAACGCATTTGGATACGCTTTCCTTCCACCGACCGTCGGAGGGAACAGCACGGACGACCCCCGTTCCAACACACCGAGACGCACCTCGGGCGGGCATTGTGGAGCACGGAAGATGGACTCCAAGTCCTGCCGTTGCTTTGGTTCGGGACAAGATCACAGGTGTTCGGCGGAGGTGACAGCCTGTGGTTTGGGGCCCAGCTGGTGAGCTGAATTTGGAGGGTGAGGATCGAAGCGAATTTGGCCCGGCGGAGACCCTTTTCACATGCGACATGCTTACTCCCAAAAGTAACTCCAGTTTGTTTGTGTCTGGAACTTGGAAGAGAAAAGATGAAGGATAACACCAACCCTAGGAATCTGGTCCTCCCTGCGAAGCAACTTCGGGTCCCCGATAAGTCTGGGCACACAAATCAACTGACTGGTGCATAGTAGAGAATGACCCCAAGAGATACCTTCGGATTCATTCCACTATTCCCTTATAAAGCAGTGCAGTCAATAAATATCAATAAATACCACAGCCGAAAGGACCGAAAGAACCTCCCAATGGTGTGGAAATCCCTATCAACATCCACCAACCCACCGGAACATTCTCCAACCTCCAACGAAAAACACCCTGGTGGCTGCAAACCCCCAGTGGCAGCCCGCTCCGTGGCGCTCAACTCGCCCAGCGCGGCGACCGCGCGACAGCCGCTGGAGCTCTGGGCAAAAGCCTCAGGTGCACACCTGGGGCGACCGCGGCGAGGAACAAGAAGCTACTAGGAACAAAGCGCATCGCTACTAGGAGCAAGAAAACTACTAGTTACTAGTAGCTCCTGGCCTTACTATTAGGAACAAGCTACTAGTGACTTCTTGAGGTGCCAGTCGCGGCTCATCTGAAGCGATGAAGGGATGAACTGAAGGTGTTCAGTTCCACCGTTGGAGCTGATGACAGCTCGGTTGATTTAGGATCCAAGAGAGGTCTAGACCTGATTGCGGGGCTCCGTGGGGGGAGTGCAACGGGGCCTGAACTATCAAAAACTACCTAATAAAACAACACTAAATGGCATTAAATGGCACAAGAAAGGGGTATAGAAATGATCAGAACAATGTAACACACAAACATAATAAAAAAAAAAATCATAACAAAAAAAGGAGACCGGGAACCACCAAAGAGGAACAAAGACTGCCCTTGACCACCAGGGTCTCACTAATCCCAAACTCTCTCACTCACTCCCTGCCTCACGACTGAGAGCTCTCCACGTAGGCTTTCGACGCCGCGTTGTGCGTGGTCTCTTGCACCGCCCCAGGTATTGCACAGGATCTGCACCAAGGCCTACGTGAGGAAGAGGGTTTCCCACCCCATGGGGTGGGATTTTGGCCCACTTATGCAAAGATCCATCCCGATTAGGTTGGAGGCCATCCCTATCAAGTATCAGGCTGGAAGCCATCGCTTCTAGGTTGGAGGCCATTGCTTCTAGGTTGGAGACCATCATTATTAGGTTGCAGGCCATTGCCATTAGGTTGGAGGCCATTGCTATTCCAATACAACTTGTGGAAATAGTATGGAATAATGGTTTGTCGACTTATGGTGTGAGACCTGTCGGGCGGGTCTATCCTTTTACCAGTAACAGTGGATGATGATGGTTAGCATCCATTCCTCTAAGCGGCGAGCACAGCAGTGCCAAGCACACTGCTCCAAGCGCACCCCCTTAAAAAATATGCCAAAAGCAGCGACTGGAACTCCTGTGTTCCAAAAAAACTTCATCAGCTTCTTGTACTGACTGTGTTCTTCAGATCTAAACGATGATGAACAGTAGCTTGGGGTATGGCGTCTGGGAGGTTGTGAGCGAACATCGATGCCACAAACGCCCAGTTCCATGAGCTTTCAACATCGTTCGTGTGATATATATGATTCCACTGTTACTGTTGTGAGGCACTAGGTGTACATTGGGTTACAAGATGTTGCAATTTCAATTGACAAAGGTTTTTGGGCAAACCCACGAGGGCCACCGTGACGGGTGTATATTTGGGACGTTCATCTGGGGCTTCCTCCCGCAGCAACTGAGCAGTTGCTGGACGGTCTCTGGTTAAACATCTGTCACCATTTGCAATCATCTGGAGGCTTCTTGCACCCAGTGGAGAGAAAAAAAATGAGACAAGCGGGATGCCGTGGCCTCAGGATGGGGTGAGCAATTTCTTCTGCTCAGCCACGTAGGACAACACATGCAGTCACTGCCAAGGCTGGGGTGGTCTCAAGTGGGGCTGAGAGGGTGCGCCGCTACCTTTGAGTTTCTCCAGGTGACTAAGGTTTTTTATTTTACCCTAGAATCCACTGAGACTCCCACTGAGATCAAATTAATCTAAACAAACAAACCTGACCAAGACCTAAATTGATCGAGTATGAAGTGGGTGATGCGAACAAATCTGTCAATCGGAACCCTTTGAACCACGCGTGGCCATGGCCCACCTGCTGACAAATGTCCTCCACATCATCCACCACACTGCCTTGGAGGCAACCCATGTGGGCACTGAATGGGAACATCACGTCTGAGTTTGAGTTCATCAGGATTTGCTCCAGATAACTGAGGAAACGGTCTAATTATATACATGCAACAATTCTACTTGTGAATTTGATGGAAGTTCACCATGAACCCTTCGAAGTGACCAGCAAGCAGTCCGATCCGGCGGCATTCGAAGCATTCGACAACACGCCAAACAAAATGTTTGGCTCAAGGGACGAGCGGACTCAGGCGGTGGAGGAAGAAACAGCGTGGACGCTGTTGGGACCTTTTTGGTTTTGGTTTGAGGTTTGTAGGAGGTTTGGTGCTACCTTTGTGACTTCACTGAAGTCACATTGGTAGCGGAGCCTAAAGTGGCTTCTGTAGGACAGAACAAGCCATGGAGGGTTCTGGGTCATCGACAGATGACAAAAGTTCAGGTATCTGGAGTTTGCTGCCGTCGTTCGATCCTAGCACCGACAATGCTCGTGAGTATTTGGCCAAGGTCAAGTTTCTGGACGGCATTTGTCCCAAGAAGGACAGACCGATGTTGGCGCCCAGGCTGGCAATGCTTTGTAAGGGGACTGCATGGCATCAAGTCCGGGCCCTTGCTCCAGAGTTGTTGACAGATCCCACCAACGGGATAAAGCACTACCTAGCTGCCCTCGAAAGCTGGGAAGAGAGTTCAGAGCTTCGAACGTTTGAACTATTTGATCGTGCAATTTACAAGACTGTTCAGAAGCCGGACGAATCCACGCAGAGCTATGTGAACAGGTTGATGGTGGCTTTCGATGAGGTTGGAACGGATACCACTCTGAAGTCAGTCATTGCATTCATCCTTCTCAAGCAGAGCAGTTTGAACCATGAAGATAAGAAGAAGGTCTTGACGATGACCAATGGGGTCCTTGAGAAGACTGCACTTGAAGGAGCAATGAGGTCATTGTCTACGAACGTTTTGACTGGTTCAGGAACAGTTGAAAAGAAAAATATTTACCCCACCAACCTCATTGAGCCCGATGAGACAGAATTCAACAAAGACATCAACCACACCTATGCAAGTCATGAAGACGATGAAGAGTTGACCTATGACACCATCGAAGCAATGGCTTCGTGGGGGGATGCCGATGCCCTCACCGTCCAGACTTTTGAGAAAGATTTGGAGGAATTGATGCAAGAAGTTCCAGATCTTCATACAGCTTTGGTCTCATACCATGAAGCTCGTGCCAGGATCAATGAGCGCAAACGAAACCGTGGTTTCTGGCCCGCTGGACAGAAGGGATCTGGAAAGGGATTCAAGTCTGGATTTCAAAGCAGTGGTTCAAAAGGTTTTCGCAAAGGCAATTCAAAAGGAAAAGATGAACTACTTCAGCGTATTGCCAGAACGCACTGCAAGAAGTGTGGCGAACTAGGCCACTGGAAGGCCGAGTGTCCCAACAAGGCCAAGGATTCAGTGAACATCGTGACTCAAGAGGCCTTCGATGAGACCGATCAGGTGGTTTTCGAGACCTTGAGCCTGACCGAGATCGAAGAGGTTCGCATGGATGAAAGAGTTGAAGGGTTCACCAATGAAAGCAAGTGTTTCCACATCGAGCATGCCTTCGTAGGAATTCATCAAGAGCTTAATTCAATCGATCCTAAGGGAGACATCCAAATTAAAATGCAGCAGTTTTTTGCAAGTCGGTCAAAGTCTGTGCATTTTGCCAGGCAGAGAGAGCAGAGCACCCAGAACCCGATCCTGAAGGATCAAATCCGCCTGTTTCCAAGCTGTACCAGTAAGACTGGTCAAGAAGCCTTCAACACCCAAGGCTATGCAATAGTTGACACCGGAGCCAGCCGAAGTGTCATAGGATCTGAGAACCTTCCTCAGATGATGCAGTTGTTGGACCCCGCCACTCGAGCCCGCACCAAGGAAAAGGCAAGCTGCATAGGATTTCGTTTCGGGAACAACCAGATTGAGTACAGTTTTAAGCAAGTATGGATCCCCATCAGGAATGGAGCACAGCAGATTTGGTTGGTGATTGAAGTGGTTCCCAAGAGCACCCCATTCTTGTTGTCCATTCAGACCATGCGAAAACTCGGAGCCGTTCTCGATTTGCAGCAGGGAACCTGTTTTTTGCAAACATTAGGTAAGGCCATTCCATTGAAGCAAGGCACCACAGGTCTTTTGATGATCAACTTAGCCGATCTTTGTCAGAAGCCAACCAAAGCCACATTCGTTGCTTCATCCAGTGAAAAGCCAGCAGCCAGTGTCGTGTCAAGAGTCGTTGATCAGCCGGAGCTGAAGTTCCCACCAGCCATGCCGACCCGCCAGGAAGTCATGGAAATGATCAGAGAGACGGCAGATGCAGTGATGCAATTGCTGAAACTCTTGTTGACCATGCTCATGAACCAGGTCCAGAGACAGGTGGAAGTGACTGCCGATCAACTCGTGCCGAACGAACATGCCTTACAGCTGCAACACCTGATGCAGGAGGTCCAGTGCCAAAAGACCATGTTGCAGGAGATTGCGAACAACCTGAAGACATCAGGAACCCCATCCACCTCGGGGACTCATCGTTTGACAGAATGGGTCGACATCGAGGAAAGAGAGATCCATCGCTGGGAAGACGAAATGACGATGATGAGCGAATCGGCCAAGGTGCCTATGCCGACGAGTCCAACTCGTCCCAAGTCGGCACCTCAACCGGCAAGTCCAACGACACCAAAGACAGCAAGTTCCGCAATGTTGCCTGGACCAAGTGGAGCCCGATCCCGTCAGACAGAAGCACCCATGTTGAGTGGACCCATTCTGGCCCGCGGAGGAGCTCGCCGATCAGACGAAGGGGTGACGGAGACCGAATTCAGTGCCCCACACGGCAGGGATCTTGCTTGGACCCAGGATGCTATGACATCTTGGGGACGCAAAGTCATCAACTGGGGAAAGAAGCACCCTGGCAAGATGTACTACCAAGTGTACGAAACAGACGACCAGTACACAAGCTGGTGTTTGTCCCGCCTGAACAGCCTCGGAATGCCAGTGCTAGATTATGCCAAGTACTGTCAAGTCCGCAGGCAGATGGAAGCACAGCTCCAAGGTCTTTGATCCATCTAGCAACACAGGTGTCTAATCCTCTAGAAGTCAAATGGTTGAGAGCTTTAAGGAAAGAAATGGAGGAAAACATTCATGGACCTGAAATTGACCTGTTGGAAGTGTATGCACAACCAAATAGTCGACTAGCTGAAGAGATCATTAGACAAGGGGGAAAAGCCAAGAGGTTCACACAGGAACACGGAGACTTGTCAAACTTTCAAGGGCAATTGGAGTTGCTTCGAACAATAATTCGATCAAGACCAAAACATATTTGGGTTGCACCTGAATGCGCGCCGTGGTGTGCTTGGAATCGGTTTAATGCAAGGAGAAGCCTTCATGCATTCGAAACCATCCAGTCAATGCAAAACCACTCACGAGAGCATTTGAAGCTGTGCGCATTCATTTGCAAAATCCAGATTGAAGGCGGAAGACATTTTACAATGGAAAACCCAGGTGCATCCGGAGCATGGTCACAGCCAGAAACAAAGGAAATCCTTCAACTCACGAAGAGTGTTGAATTCGACCAATGTCAGTTTGGGTTGAGACATCCACAAAATCATGATCCCATGAAAAAGGCAACAAGGTTACAGACGACCTCTCGTGAAATAGTTAGGAACATGGATGGGAGAACATGCCACGGGGAACATGTCCATCACCCCATTGCAGGAAGTTGTCAATTCCAAGGAAAGACATTCGCACTGTCTCGATTTGCTGCTTTCTACCCACACATGTTAGCAAGAAAAGCCGCAAAAGGGATTCTTTCAGAGAATCAACATCCCGATTGTCCAATCATTGATGCAGCTACTGCCATTGAGATGTTATGCCCAGTCCGAGCAGCTGTAGACCCACCTGAGGATGAACCTGAAGCTAAGAAGAAGAAGCGAACTGAGGGCCCATCGGAAGACCCAAATGCTCGCAAGAGGGAATTGGAGACGTATGAACCATATACAGTTTTGTCCGGACAATCATGGACTGACGTCATGAACAGACTTCAGAGCCTTTTGCCCAAATCCGGAGCACAGAGCATTGATTTGGAAACTTGGCCAGGTAATTTCCTCGTCCAGCATTGTCAGATCCAGAAGGTCAAAGAAATCAAAGCCATCAAGGGTGTTGAGAAGTTCATGATTGGAAACCACGCACACCCATACAGGCAGACCATTAGCCTTTGCAGAAAGACCCAAAGAATCATTGATCTTGGAATCGAAGAGTGGACAAAGATGACCCAATTGCAACAACGTCGTAAAGCCATTCCAAGTCATATCATGATAGGCATTGTTGGGGAAAATCCAAATGAACTAGATGAGGACCAAGCCAAGTCCGAGTCTGTGCCGAAGTCAGATCAAGCCGCAAAGTCCAAGAGCCAGTCAAGCCTGGGAGAGAAAATCTCTCCACCAATTCGTGCTGAAGCCTCAGGAGAGACATCCTTAAGTGAGAACAAGAGGTTTCACAAACTAAGACAGCTGAAAGCCTAGCACCTGTACCCTCCTGGATGCCAGTCTCGACCATCAATTCCGGTCCGAAGTTTTTAGAACTCAATAGTAAGCAACAATCCATGATTCGCAAGATGCACAACAATCTTGGACATCCTGTTTCCGAACATTTGAGTGAACACTTAAGTAGACTGGGTTTCACTGAACGAATGATTGAAGGAGCCAAAGACTACCAATGCCAATCATGTGCCGAAAGAGTTCCACCCAAGTTGACTACTCCCGGCAAGCTCAAAGAACCAAGGGAATTTAACGAAAGACTTGCTCTAGATGGATTCGAATGGAAAGGGGAAAAAGGGCACAAATATTATGTGTTGCACTTTTTCGATGAAGCCACTCATTTTCATCTTGGAAGACGAAGCCAAAGAACCGCAGAAAGTACGATAAAGACCATGAATGAAACTTGGATTCATTGGGCTGGATCACCCCAAGAAATTCAACATGATGAAGCAGGGGAGTTTGTCAGTCAACCATGGAAAGATTTCCTACAACAAGAAGGGATACGATCATTAGTCAGTGCTGCACCCTGGCAGAGAGGTCGGATTGAGAGGCATGGAGGAGTGATTAAAGAAATGCTAAGTCGAATAGATAAAGAACAACCAATAGCCAACGAAAAGCAGTTCGACATGGCCTTGAGTCAATGCTTCCAAGCCAAAAATAGTCTGACCATCGTAAAAGGGTATAGTCCAGAGCAAGCCGTTTTGGGAAGATCACGCAGACTGCCTGCTTCCATTTGTGGAGATGAAGATTTCACAGCACATTCGTTAGATCAACCAACGGATACTAGATCAGAGGACTTCTTGCAAAAGATGGAAATCAGGACACTTGCCCGGAAAGCTCTCCTGGACGCTGACAACAGTCAAGCAATTCGTCGTGCCTTGAACCATCAATCAAGAGGACAAGAACATCCATGGAGATGTGGGGAGCTGTGCATGATATGGGACAAAAGAAAATCCCCAAACATGCTTGAAAAGGGACGATGGACTGGACCATGTCAGATTGTAATGGAGGAAAGCAGGACAATCGTTTGGGTGACACAAATGAACCGACTGTTGCGTGTTGCAAAAGAAAATATTCGACCCGTCTCGATTCGTGAATTCAATAGAGTTGCCACTTTTCATCAGAGTTGTGAAGAAACGAAACTCCAAGCCATGGCAGAACAATTGAAGAAGCAAATGAAAGAACGAAGTGGAATGTTTCAATTCTCTGATTTGACAGAAGTGGAACCACCTCAACAACCAGTGGAAACCAATGGACCACAACCAGAAGAAGAACCTCACCGAAGGGATTCAGAAGCCGATGTTCCCACAATAGAGCCAGCCAGCGTGATTCCCGACCCAAGTGATTTGCCAGATGCAGAACATGCAGCAGAGTCCGATGAGCCTCTAAGGAGTGATCCTAATGGGGAAGAGGATCCGAATGGAGCTAGGGGGGAAACCAATGAATCAGGTGTGGATTCAATTGATTTCATGGATGAAGTTTACAATGTCAGCATTGTTGAAGCTAACGATACAAACGCAGTCACAGTGCCGGATAATGGAACATTGTGGCCGTGCATCGAAAACATTCCGATAGAGAATGCCAATTTTTGCATGTTTGAATTTGATGTTCCCGCCAAATACCTGTCCGCATTTTGCACAGATCCCTGTTTGCATGCCGAGCAGATGGTCCAGGCAGCAAAGAAGAATCATGTGGAAGTAGTGTATAAACACTTGAGCCCAACCGAGAAAGAAGAATTCGACCAGGCGAAAGGCAAGGAACTTGGATGCTGGATAGAAACCTCCTCAATTGAACCAATCTTGAGAGATAAAATACATCCTTCCAGGATAATGTCTTCTCGATGGATACTAACATGGAAGGTTGACCCCAGTTCACCCCAAGGTAGAAAAGCCAAAGCCAGACTAGTGGTTAGAGGATTTGAGGACCCTGATGCAGCATCAGTGAGCACCGAATCACCAACATTGTCTCGAGATGGCCGCATGATAATCCTCCAAGAAGTCAGCAGCAGAGGATGGAGATTGCAAAGTTTCGACATCAAAACTGCATTCTTACGTGGAAGATCCGATGACCGAGTTCTCGCAATGCAGCCAGTTGTGGAATTGCAAAAACTACTTCACCTCAAGTCCAATGAAGTCTGCCTCTTGAAAGGTAATGCTTACGGACGAGTGGATGCACCCCTCTTGTTTTACAAAGAGTTCAGAAAGAATCTTGAAGCCGAGGGATTCCAAGCCCACCCACTGGATGCATGTCTGTTCATCCTTCGTAATTCCCATGAACCAGAGAAACTTGAAGGAGTGTTAGGAACTCATGTTGATGACGGAATTGGAGGAGGAACAGCAGTGTTTGAAAGGGCACTGGAAAGAATCCAAAAGAAGCTGCCATTTGGACAAAGATAATATAAGAAGTTTCGGTTCACAGGTCTTGACAATGAACAAAATCCAGATAACTCAATTCGAATAAGTCAAACCGATTATATCCAGAAGATTGATTCCATTGATGTGCCGAAACCTCGTCGAAAAGATGAGAAATCTGCAGTCACAGCACCTGAGCTACAACAGTTGAGAGCTCTTTGCGGAAGTTTACAATATGCTGCAGTGCATTCGAGGCCAGATCTTGCAGCCAAGGTGGCATTTCTCCAAAAGAAAATCCCAAATGCTTGTGTTTCAGATTTAATGGAAGGAAACAAGATACTGAGAGAAGCCAAGAACACAGCCGAAACATCGATCTTGATCCAACCAATTCCAATTAATCAGATAACCTTCGCAAGTTTTGGAGATGCAAGTTTTGCTTCGGAAAGCCAAATGAAAGCCCAACAAGGACTGTTCGTCATGGCCACGACAAAGAAACTTGGACAGAACGAGACCTCCGAGTTTTCTCCTTTAGCATGGGGTTCCAAACAAATTGCACGGGTAGTTCGGTCCACCTTAAGTGCTGAAGCCTATGCCATGTCGAGCTCATTGGACAAATTAACATGGATTAGATGCCTATGGGGTTTCGTGAATGACCCAAAATTTCAATGGCAGAAACCCGAGAAGGCCCTCCAGAGTCATCCAAAAGCCCTCCTGATTACTGATTGCAAATCTCTCTATGATTTGGTAACCAAATTAGCCATCCCGAACTGTCAAGAATGGAGGACCACGATAGAGGTGATGCAGATTAAGGAGCAGTCAGAGGGAAATGCTCAATGCCGGCTATCATGTTAGCAGACTGCTTAACAAAACCAATGGATGCAAGTTTCTTACGAAAAGTTCTGGCCATCGGACGCTTTCGAATTTTCGATGAAACGAAGACCCTTAAGACGAACGCCAACAGGAAGTTCGGTGAACGATGGGCTGAAGGATTTAGAAACCTAGCAACCGATTCACTTCGAAAAGAAAAACAGAACGTGTGTGAATTTGATGGAAGTTCACCATGAACCCTTCGAAGTGACCAGCAAGCAGTCCGATCCGGCGGCATTCGAAGCATTCGACAACACGCCAAACAAAATGTTTGGCTCAAGGGACGAGCGGACTCAGGCGGTGGAGGAAGAAACAGCGTGGACGCTGTTGGGACCTTTTTGGTTTTGGTTTGAGGTTTGTAGGAGGTTTGGTGCTACCTTTGTGACTTCACTGAAGTCACACCTACTACAGTATATAATTGAACTGTCACTTGCTCATCTTGACGCTTTGCCTCATACGAGAAAATGCTGCTGTGCATTTCCGAGGCTAGCTAGGTAGTCTTCAGAGATATCAGGGAAAGCAAACAAATCCTCGAAGCAACCGAGCGTGGGGCAAAGCATTTCGTTGCTGAAGATTTGGAATGCTCAAACACTTTGAAATCAACGAGTATATATACACTGGACAAGCCTAGTGGCTTTTGACCTAGGGTTCTCGAAGGATGTCGTGTACTTGGTGAAAGTCTGACGTTTGTGGAAGATCTTGGTGAGCAAGTGACAAAATGATCATTTTAGAGCGTTCCATCTTTATAGAGATGTATAGAAACCTACAAACATTAGCAAATAGTATCGCAAAGACCCAACCATCTTCAACAACCACATGTTACTCATGTCAGAAACTGCATCGATCACAGCAACGTTTTTGTGTCTTTCTTCGGTGCCCAGCTGCCCCCAGGCAGCTCCTCGCTGGGCCCCGTCGCCAACTCCGCAGCCGGCGCGGCCGGCACGGCCGGCGCCCGGTGGGCGCCGCGGGCGCGGGCGCCGCGCTCGGAGGCGCGCAGGTAGAGCGCCAGCTGCTGGCGGAAGATCTGGAGGACACCTGTTGCTCAGCGATTGCTGTTGGATGAGGATGATCGCGACCATCATGGAGGGAAGAAACCCGAGTGACCGATTGTGTGAAGAAAAAAGGTCTTGCGAGCGCATATCTAAGTGCTGCTTGGAGAAAGAATGTCTGCGATGTGACATCATTTCTGGCCTGCGATGGCCGACTGCTGCCGGTTCTCCAATTTGCGCCGAGCACCATCACTCAGCTGATGGCAGGTGTTGAGCAAGCGCACTATATACCTGGGTTGATCAACTGAATTGAATTGAGGGGACCTCTCACAGTCCTCCCAGTTCATCAGATCCTCCAACATACTTTGCACTCCGCTAGACCGCTAGACTCCTTTGTGGCCCTGATCTAACCATCATTCATTCTTGTTCTGATTTTCCTCAGTGGGATCCAACGATCTTCTTTTGATACCCGGACCCTGCTAGACGGAAGCCGTGGGGTATCCATCCACTGCCTCGAACGGGAGGACATCTTCAGACGGCGACCAGTAAAACACGGTTTAAAATAGCTTCTAGGTTGGAGGCCATCGTTAGTAGGGTGGAGGCCATCGCGCTAGTAGGGTGCAGGCCATCGGTAGAGGGTGCAGGCCATCGCTAGTAGGTTGGAGGCCATCGGTCTTGGTTCCACCGCAAGTTTGCCTTGCTAAAGTTCCAGCCTTTCTTATGTCAGCAGCATGCCTCCACCTCTCCCATCAGCTAGATGCCCCTCCCTGCCCCTCGTTCACACAAGAAGTGGTCCTAAACGATCGCAAGGTCGAAGCAAGATCCTAAGCAAATTCTATCTTTCTTTCGAGTGATTTTCCCTCACTTCATTCGCAAACGGGAGTGTCTCACAAAGCATCGTACAAAGTATACACAATTCAATTCTATCTCATCCAAAGCGGCTCTGCAGCTCTTTGAGCCGTCCCGCAATGTTGTGAATCCAAAAAATCTCAACAAGGTCAAGGTCAACAGAAGAGCTCAGGTGAGATCTTTGCTTGTCTATAGTCCGTTTCATAGTCTTGACATTTGAGAAGGACGTGGACAAGCAATGACAAGCAGAAAGGTCAGGATCGAGAACCAGCAATTCGGCTGACGAATGACCAAACAAAACATCAATGATCATCCATGACATTCAATGAACATCACCACCTGATTCCTTCATTGGTACAAGATGGTACAAGACTTTCATGGTTCTTGTGGTCTTGTCTTCACACCCACCCAACCACCCAGGTCACCGGACCAAGGAGATGGACTGCCCGAAGAATTCTCCGAGAAAAAACGCCGCGTCCGGTCACCGTGGGGAACCCCGTGCGCCGGGAAGCTCCATGAGCAAGAGCTGCGAACTCATCTTCGTCCCCAAGACCTCGCCGAAGGGATCGGACTGGATCGGAAGGAGAAGGAGAAGGAGGGGTGACAGGTGACACATCGTTACACCCAGGGGTAGTAGCTAGAAGCTATTAGTAACAGGTGCATCGCTAGTAGTAACAAGTGCCTTATTAGTAGTAACAAGAACGCTACTAGGAACAAGTGCATCGCTACTAGGTTCCTTTGACTTTGGGTGCTAACGTGGTGACACGGAGTATCACATAAAGCCAAAATCCTGGGAGCTACGTCGAGCTACGACGTCGACGTTTCCACGACTGCTGCAGAAGTCCTGCACCAACTGGGATGAATCAAATCCAGCGAAATCTGAGGGTGTTCCCCGCAGCACTTGCAGAGTGGAATGATCTTCGAAGGGTTCATTTTCCATTTGAACGGATGGTGCATATTTTTGAGGATTGGTGCTCTTTTCCTTTCGGCGATCTAGTCAATCTGGTACTGCACTACTAAACACAGAAGCGAGAAGAAGAACAAGATAATAATCACTTACAATAACAAAAAAATCATAGGGTGGACATCTGGCATCATCCAATTCTTGTAGAAATCATGGACTTGGATGCTCACCGAGTTTCGGATTCTTTTAAGGGGCCACACCGGGTTTGAACTGAATCCGATGAATGCTGACTTGGTCTCGTGCTGTATGTTAGAAACATGCCACATGAATCCAACACAAGAGATGGATCAATGCCTCACGTCCACCTCAGAGACATTGTGACACATCGGTGAAGTAGTACAGTATATATAGCTTCTATAGCTACTATAGTAGCGATGCACTTGTTCCTTGTAGTAGTGCCCTTGTTCCTGACGGAAAAAACACATAAAAAAACACGCCATTCCAGGGCACTTTGAGCGTCTGCAAGGCTTCCTCCACCATCTGCAGGTTCCCTTCCTGCGCCACCTTCGGCACTGGCTCCGGCTCCGGTGCGGAGATGAGCTCGGCCTCGGGAGGCGGTGGTTCCTTGTCCTGGCGTGCAGGCGCCGAAGCTGCTTCAAGGTGAGAACACCCTTCTGCGTGTTTGGCAAGAGCACACTGAAGCGTTTGGGAAGGCATCAAATGTCCCAAACACAAGCAGCTAGCACAAAACGTGACAGGCTAAAAACAGCGCAGCTACAGGAAAGTGCAGCTGCAACTGCCAAGCTAAGAGATGTGCTAGAAGTGGCTGGGAGGCCTCCAAGACATGTCCATCAGTGATACTCCACTCCAGTGGGTGTGAACAAAGGACTGGTTAACTGCACAGAGGGCCATACTATCACAACGATCCATCAGGACTTTGCGAAAAAACACTGAAAGACTAGAGTCAGCTTCAACATATTTAAACAGTATATGGTTGGAGTCGGAGCGATCTATAGCAGAAACCAAGAAAATAGAAACTTTTTATACAGAAGTTGTCGTTTGTATTTTTTGAAACCAGTTTCCAATGAATCAACAGTTTAACCATGTGCAAAAGAAGATTGCACCAAAACTCCATCGCCAATCTCAATTCCGTGCCCCCAGAAAATTCTCCAGCCACCTGCTGTTCTGCCTCTCAGCAACCACAAGTTTGGTCTCTCTGTCCACGCCTCGAGCTCGGGTTCGTCGCAGAGCGGCATCTGCTGCGCGAAGAGCACCGCCGTCAACAGCTGATTCCGGAACTCGTCCTGAAGGGTCCAGATTTAGGTGCTTGGAGGCTGGAGGCCATTGCTACCAGGTTGGAGGCCATCGCTAGTAGGTTGGAGGCCGTCGCTAAAGGTTTGGAGGCCATCACTCTTAA